TCGCTGGAGTTTTGGAAGCATGGCCGTCATCAGAATGCCTTGAGCTGATGTCATCAGATCCACTGTCCTGTTCCGACGATGTGGAGGAGAAGATGCCTTTGAATCCCATTTCTCTAATCACCAGTGGAATTATGCGCAGTTTTCTTAGCAGATGCCCTTTATACTCCTGAAAATCCTTTCCATTCCATTCTGCGTATATATTTCAAGAGGTGTGTGTGCATTCAGTTACCATTGACTCAGTACACATCCCAAATAAGATGACTAGATTGTAAGATCATTGTCTGTTTCTTTGCTTTAACATATGAACAGTGGGCAGTGCATCAGCAAGCTTCCCCTCCGAGCCTGTTCCAGACCAACTCAAAGACATAAGAACAGGATCTCATCTCTCCTCTAGGATCTCTCAGCTCAGGCCTGGGAATCACACACAGTGGTCTGTGTTCTCCATGAGAACCTTAGGAACTACTTCTGCATCCACTTAAGAACGGAGCTGTGGAGCTGAGAGATGGCTCATGGATTAGAGCACTGCTCTGGAGTTCAGTCCTCAGAGCCCACAAGAGATGGGCCTATAATCCTAGCTCCAGGGAATCTGATCTCATCTTCTGGCCTCTGCAGGCACCTGCACCTATGTGTGAACATACTCAGAGATAAATAAATAAAAGATAATAATGTTTTTACTTTAAAAGGAAAGGAAAAAATAGAAGCTGTGGCGTGTTGTAACAAGGGAGCAGCGAGCAGTATTTAAACCTGTGAGCCAGGGTTCCCTGTGCACACACAGAAGCCAGAAGGAGGGGGAATAAGACTACATAGCACATTTTCAGTAACCGCTGCATTCCATGCTGGGTGGCCCATACTAACACACTGGGTATCATCTCAGATAGGGCAGCAGAATTGCAGAAACTGACGGTCATGTGTGCACGCAGTGTATGAGGGTGAATGTGGGCCCACAGGTTAACCTTGGGAGTCCTCCTCTATCTCTCTCTCCCCTTTTGAGATAGGGTCTCTTGCTGAACATGGAGCTCGACAATGCAGCAAGCCTAACTAGCTAACATGAGCCAGGGATTGCGAGTCTCTGCCTCCCTGAGATTGGGCTGATAAAAACTCACTGGCACACTCAGGTCTGTCCTTGTGTGCTGTGGATCTGAACTCGGATCCTTGTGCAGCAAGCACCTTACTGACTGATCTGTCTTCCCAGCCTGATGACTTTTGTTTTAGAAAACAATTTCACAATCACATGTTATGTCATGTGCCTAGAATGCCAACAGTGATGAGGATGATGGCAGGAGAGCTGTGAGTTCCATGACGTCCTGGAGCTCAGAGTAGGACCCCCTCTGCAGGACTATGATGACGATGACGCTGGAATGAATAGTTCTGATAGCTTTGCGTTATTATCACCACTAATGAAAGCAGGCGCAATGCTTTCACTGATCCAGAGTTTACAAATTACTTCCTTCTCAAAACAGACACACAGCAAGTTCTTATGGACAGCAGCTCCCAATTTTCAGTGTGATTACCTTCAGTGCAAACAGCCAGTGTCCTCACCAGCAGAAGACAGCCATCGATGGCAGGAGCCTCCACCCTGCCGGGGGCCTTGGAAGTAGATGTCACACCCTGTACGCCTGATAAACAGAAGCAGAACAAGTACAGAGACCTGGACACAGTGTCTGCTGACTTTGGTTCCCCGGTGTGATGAATCATGGAGCCACTGATCCTTTTTAGCTAATTGCTATCAGCTTGTGAGATTTTTCCCTCCCGTGTCCAATATCAATTTTCATGGCCATAGGAGATAGCGCTGCTCCCCTGAGCCCGTTGGCGACTGGCTGATAAAACTGCAGCAGCACTTAGCAGTTTAAAGGGGTGTCATCTAATATGCAGAGGGGAGCACGGGGGGCACGGGGCAGAGGAGGATGAGTCTGCTAATGCATCCGACTGTGACCTTTTCTCAAAGTCATCCTTCGGTGTTGACAGGCTCTGTAGGTTCTGTAACGTGAAAACTCGGCCTGTCAGAGAGCTGCCAGGTCTTCCTAGAGATGAGAGCTGGACTTGGATGTCTCTGCGTCGCATCTTCAGTGCCCGGTGGGGGACGACTGTGCAGAAGGCGAGTGTGGGATAGGCCATGTGAGGTGTGCTCCATCAGCTAAACGGAAGACCCACAGACCCGCCTTTCCTCCAGCAGAGACTTCAGACCCATAGTGCAACCACCCCTCCTTTTCTTTTAGCAATAGAGCACATAGTCCCACTTTCTCCTGCAGAGTCTGTGTAGGTCTCAGTGGTTAGAAAATCAGTCAATCACACACACACACACACACACACACACACACACACACACACACACGGATCCTGGAAGCTATGAACTGGCAGTACCCAGGACTCTTCAGGCGAATGCACTCTGCTATAAGAAAGATCTGAATCTGATGTGGCAATCTCAGAATGTAGGTGTAAAAATTTGGAATGGTGGAAAAAATTGGTGGGTGCATTCTTTCAAGAAAGTTGGCTTCTGAGTGGGGGTCAAAGAAACCTCTGGCTCCTAACCTCTGCTGGGTGAGAGCTTCCTGTCCCTTCTGCGATGCCCTTGCCTAGATCTGCCCTCTACCACGCCAGCATCACTCAGCAGACTCCACACTTGGGATGCCTGATTCTATTTCCTCCCATGTAAGTGAGGACTGGCTTGCTGATGAGTTTCTCATGGTTATTTTACTAGTTCGCACTCGTGGAGAGTAGAGAAACAGCAGCTAATGCTTCTGTTGGGCCCACTGTTCCCAGATCTCCTGAAGTAGGATTTTAAGAAACAAAGACATCTATGGTCAGCATCTCCTGTGCACTGTGTTCCTAATCCTCAGTCCTGGGGGCATTTAATTACTGACCCAATGAAACATGGGTGGGGCTTGATCTCACAGCTTTCAAGGAAGCCAAAGGGTAGAGCAGAGTGAAGACTGGCCTATAGCCTCATGAGGTCTGGTGTACTCTTTCGACTCCCAGCTGGTTGCCTGTTTTACTCAGCAATTTTTTATTTTTAATAAACTGCCTGTTAGTAACACAGCAGAATCCTGGTTCCCCACTGCTGCCACTTGTGATGGGTTTACTAACGGGCAGTGATGGTTGTTGTCCAGGGACAGTGCTGACTCGGAAACCGGAGCTTTCAGTGACAACGTCAGATGACAGAAGTTAGCATCCTCTGTCTCTGATAGGGAAAAATGGGAAGAAACTCAGAAGCCCTGTGCCCTAAAACTTCTTCCTGTGTCCTCCACTATCAGCCTTGGACTTGGAGGTTACATGCATGTGAAGGACAAGGTCCGTGCACAGTGTCAACCTCTCTCTGACACGGTGGTGAGAGACAGTGTGTTCACACGCCAGCCATATTTTCCCAGACAAGGACAGTCGGGGAAGCTGCTGTAGATGTGGTGTCAGGGCAGACAAGAGGAAATTGCATCTCATTTTCCTAGATCAGAGAAGACTATCAAAACTGTGGGGTTACTCTGACTCATGATATACTTAACTATGCAGTTAGTAATGACACTGAGTGGTGGAATAGGTCTGTAATTCCATGATTCAGAAATCAGATGTAGGGCTGTGCCTTGGAGGCCAGTCTAGGCCACATAGTGAAACCTTGTCTCAAAAGGCCCCTCTCCTCCAATCTGAACAGAGAAGGAAGAGGTACCACGGCACGATCACTTCTTGAGGAAGCGGCTGTGTAGGCGAGGGGGCAGTGCAACTGAGCCTTAATACAGTCTGAATTACCGACTGTTCTTCACGCCAAAGGTCAAGGGCCAAGTGATCCTCGCTTTATCTAAATCATCTACTCTTTTGGCCCAGGATTCCTTTATTGGTAAACTGGCTACTGCAAGAGGTGCCGTAAGGACAAGGGGATAGGTGGACACATTCAGAGTTCAGCCACTCTGCAGAGGATGCTTCTGTGAGGGACAGTAGGGTGACATCCCAGGTTACTTCTCTCTGTTAGGCCAGGCTGCGGTCCAAACAGCTCTAGCATTTCCACACATTGTAAGAGACGGAAGGCCACAGGCACAGAGGGACGGGGGAGTCCTGTGGACACAGACTAAGGCAGAGTGGCATCTACTTTGAGACAGGCCTGGAGAGAGCCACACATTCAAGAGGCATCATGGGATAACTATACAACTAGCAAAGCCTCAAAGCAGGTAAGAGATGCTGGACAGGAGCAGTGAAGCTCCAAGGGGGTGACCAGGAGAGTAGAACCTCATCTCGGTGTGGTGGATTTCCCTTGAAGAAGGAAAACTTTTTGAAACCTATGAGCAATAGAGAAGGGCCTCACTATGAAGAGAGGAGTCCGGAGTTCTTAGTGAAGAAGCCATGTGTCTCCTGTGTGTCTGAAAACACAGAAAGAAGGTGACTTTCCTGCTTGTGTGTACACAACAGGCCATAGCCACAGACCCAGAATTGCCTCAGAAGAGCTCAAATTCCCTGCAATCTATGCATGCGGCTCTCAATGTTTCTCCTCCAAGGCTACAGATTTTCCCTGACATTCCCAGAGGCTGGACAGTCCCCAGGGGTCCACAGAGTTGATGCATATCTTTTCCCTCAAAGGACCAAAGTAGATCCACAGCACACAGTCATCCGGAGCCCTAGGTTATCTTTTTTGCATGGGCAGAACCCCAGGCTGGAATGGCAGTCTTACAAATCTCTGAGACGGGCTTGGTGGTGACAGGGTATGGCCATGGTGAGCCACAAAGAATGCACAACCTTACATAATAGCAACTAATCACAAAATGACGGCTTTCTTCATTTGCTTAGAATCTGGGGGACGGTGAATGTGAGATGGGTTTAATACTCTGAGTTCATAGACTGGGATGGTGAGTTGTCCTAGTGAGCATGGCCTCCAGGCCACCAACAGATGTGCATCCAAACCCTCTCCTCTCTGCGGCTCATTATGACTCAGGTTTATTCCATTGCCTCTGCCACATTCTCTTTTAGAATGTGTGTGTTTGAGTGAGAGAGAGAGAGAGAGAGAGAGAGAGAGAGAGAGAGAGAAAGTGTGTGAGATGTCATAGCTAGAGTGTGAAGGTCAGAGGACAGCATTTAGCTTTCAGGAGTCAGCTCTCTCGTGTGGGTTCTGGATCTAGAATCAGCAGGTCAGGCTTGAGAACGAGTGCCTTAACTTGTTGTGCCACATCAGCAGCCCACAGTAGAGCACGCTATCTACCTGTCTTCACTTCGGGATCACGATATACCTTTGTCTATTTGAAAGTCAACACTGTGTCGTCCCTCTAGAGGTATGAGCTTTCATTGTTGTGGTGGTTTGTTTGTTTGGGGGTTTATTTGTTTGTTCTGGAGACTAGGATTCTCTATGTAGCCCTGGTTAGACTTGAACTCACTCTGTAGTTCAAAGTGGCTTCAAACTCACAGAGATCCCCCTGCCTCTTCCTTCCCAGCGCCAGGACGAAAGGTGTATCTAATTGGTGCAGAGGCCTGGGGTAGTGCTTTTAAACACAGTGTGATGGACTACAGAGACAGATCTGTGCTCACCTCACGGGCATGACATTCGAGTTTAATCCTTCGAGCTCTCCTACGCTGGGTGTGATGGTGTATTCTTGTGAGTACTGGGGAGGTGGATATCAGAGGACAACCGGGCCCTCTCTCCTGCAAGTCTAGCCCCATTGGTTGTCTCAGGTCAACGAGAGACTCTGTCTCAAAGAGACGGAAGGTATTCCTGGAGATGACACCCAAGTTGTCCTCTGGGTATCTATACTTTTTGTCTTGATATTCCTCTACGATCCTCTGGAAGATTTGGTCTTCTAAGTTCTCTGTAGCACCCGGGACTGACATGTCTGAGCCCATACCCAACCTCCTTTAGCTCAGACTATGGTCATTCATGTCCTATCTGTAGACTGACTGTGGGGTAGTAAAAAGGACGACTTTTAGGTTTAAACTGGCTGAGCAAGGGATCTGCCTGCCCTATTCCCTTTCTAAGAGGGCAGCGATCTGCTGGGTGTTGTTACAACAAATGGCCTGATGTGGTGAACTGAAACAAAAAAAGGTTTTGTTTTCTTTTTCTGAGACAGGGTTTCTCTGTCCGACAGCCCTAGATGTCTTGGAACTAGCTCTGTAGACCAGACTGAGTGCTGGGATTAAAGGCGTGCACCACCCCTTCCCAGTATTTTTTTGTTTTGTTTTGTTTTGTTTTGTTTTGTTTTTGCACAGTTTTAGAAATTGGAAGCCCAAGCAGTGGCCTGTCTGGGGTTCTGCTGATGTCATCATTCCTGGGTCAAAAAGTGACAGAGCAGAAGAAAGATGCTTGGCCATGAATGGAGGGGAAGCCTGAGAGATCCAGGGCCCATTTTTGTGCTCCTGGAGACTTTCAGAGACCCCTCAAGAACGCATTGATGCCATCAGCAGCAAATGCCTTCACTGACCTGTGACTTCCCATGAGCTCCCACTTCTTAGAGGCTTCACCAGCTAAGTTCCAGGGGGTGGGCAGCTTTGAGCATGTGGAACTTCAGGGGCCAACCATACCCAAACCTCAGCATGAGGCAGGAGTGCAGCTGGAAGGCAGCTTGGAACGGCCTGTCATGATTCTGAGGGTCATCAGTGGTTCTCTAAGCAGAGGGCACAGGTCCTGCTTTATGAAGCAGGTGGTAGAGCAAAAATGGCCATAGACCCTGATGGGAGACCTCACAAGTGACAAACATGCATACTACAAACACATGTGCACCATACACAAATACACAGACACAAGTGCTCATACCACATACACCAACACTCCATGTACACACACACAGATACACATATGCTTGAACACACAGAAACACAGGTATGCATATATGCATATATGGTACATATATACATGACACACAAACATTCAACCTTATACACACAGCATGCGTACATACAGATATACACATGTGTACACATGTGCACACACCACACAAGCACATAGATGGAAAAACACATGCACACATGTACACACAAACACATGTGCATACATTTGCACAAACATGCAGATGCACTGGATACATACATATGTACACACAGGACCATGCATGTATATATACACATGCATATGCTTACCTATTTGGATATATCACACATATGCACAGCATAAATACAAATATACAGGCTTGGTACTCACACACATGCACAGTGTACACACATATATATGTACACTCAGCATACACACATATACATGACACACAGCTGTGCTTACTTGTACACATATACATGTACATATGCACACTCACATGCACATTCTTACAGACACACCTGCATGCATGCATATGCAAATTTGCACATGTGTATATATGTATACATGTTACTAACAGACATAGAGTACCTGGGACTTAAGAACAGTGTCCTGTGTGTCCAGTATTTTAAGCGGTATTTAAGCACTGGCTGATGTGTAGGACATCCAACTGTGAATCATGCGTACTGTTTTCTCAACCCACCCCTAACCTGTTTATCACAGAAAAGAACAGGCTTCTAGTAGGCAATGCCTTATTTTCTAGTAGGACTGGGACTTACTGCTTTGCACAGAATCTGGCTTTTTCTTCAGCTCTAGCAACCCAAGAACCTGGAAGAAGGCAGAGACCACAGCGCTAAGCATTTTGAGGGTGACTCTCCCTAGTCCTGAGACCCTAAGCCATGCTCAGGCCCCCACACCACCCCTCCTGCATGCTGAGAAGGACACTGGGGGTCTTTCTCATACATTTTTCCAAGAAGCTTCAACCCCTTGACCTAAATTAGGAAAATTCCACTAAGGGATAGTGCTGATGTCCCGGGAACATAAAGTAGCTCCTTCACCAGAGCCTGGGGTGGACCTGTTTGTGCTACCCTGTGAAATTCTGTCCCCCATAATCTGAAAAAGGAAACTCAACAGAGCGCACCTTCAATTATTTCCATCTAGATTGGGTTTTCCTTATTTTCTATAACTAGAGCAAAAAGAGCCATACATCCACAGCCGTGGGGAGCTTGTGTGATGCTGGAGCTCTCCGGGGCTGGGATCCTGGAGGACATGGTGCACAGGTCTGACCCGGCTGTACAGGACGCTTGGGCTCGTCTCCCTGTGCTGTTGGGACCTTCAAAGTCAGGCATTCTCCAGTGTGCTTCTGAGGCAGAGCCCTGTAAGGCCCAGTGTTCCATAGTGGCTACCGATCTCAGGCCACCCTGCCAGGGAGGCGTGATTCTCATTTATTAATTTTGTTAATGGCATTGTCCCCTCCCCTCACGTCCTTGGGGATGCCTTTAGGCCCTGGACCTTTGTCTTTGAACATCCTGGAGTTGAGCATCAAGGAAGGTGCACGGTGCCAGGAGGGTCCCCTGGCACTGCGCTCAGGCACTAGCCTCTGCAATTACCAGCCACCTTGCTGGCAGACGGTAATTGAAAAGTGCGAACCACATGGGTGCAAGTCAATAATGGCGACAGAGCCCAAATGACACTCCGAGCTTTCGGTGGCCGCCCCGGCGCTGTGTTGGCTTTTCACCTTTTATCCTTCCCAGCATCACGGCTTAATCCACTCTAATGAGGTGAGCGCCACTGCCAAGACCCAGCGGCTGCACAGCTCCCTTCTGGCACCACTTGGGGGTTGCAAGAAGCTGGATGGAGGGAGAGAGACCAACGGCCCTTTGACGGTGTTTCCCTGGAGACTCTGGCTCTGTCTCCCCTGGCCACGCCCTGCCTCAGGCCTGTGGAGTAACCTGCTCTGAGCTTCTGGGTAGCAACTCAAGGTTGCCTTCTGTGCATTCAACTTAGTGGCACACGATTCTCCTAGCTTGAAGGACACGGCTGGTGCCCACATGTCACTGTTTACAAACAGCAGGTGACTGCCAGCAGCAGCAAGAGTGTGAATCCCTCTTGCTCGCGTCTCCTTACCCATCTGTCCATGCATCTTGAGCCGCGAGGACCCAAGAACTGTACGCCGCGGCGGGAGCCACAGAGGAGAGATGCGATGACGCTGCTTACAAAAACACACATAGGAGGAGGGGGTGGGGGTGGGGGAACTGACTTTAGTATGGTATGGAAGCATGCTCTTGAAAAGGAAACGCACGGGTGCTGGCTTAATTGGTCCTTCCCATATGTTCTCCATAGCGACTCTCTGTGGCAAGGTGGTTGTCCCTGAGATCAGATGTCACCTCACCCCTCCTGCACCTGCCCCTCCACCATGCCGGCTCCACGGCAGTCTGTGTTAATAGCACGGCCCTTGCTGGCCTCACTCGGCTTCTCTGTTGAGTCTCCAGAAACGACAGGCCACCGCCCTTTCTTGGGAGGGTAAGCTGACCCTTGGTGGCACCCTACCCCTCAGATGGCTGAACTTCTGCAGAGTTGGGCTGCCGTGCCAGCCCTCGGTGAGCAGTCCTCACATTTTCACAGTTCATACAGAATTTCAGTTTAATGGCTTTTTTATTGGTTGAAAGAGGGGAGAAAGAAGAAAAGGCAATCAGGGCGTATTGAAAGCTTACAGGATTAACTGTGTGGTCTTAGTAAATGTACACAACACAGGCAAGGAGGGAAAAAAAATTTGGCTGTCACACAGCTCCAACCCCCCTCCCTTTTTTCTAGGCTTAATCTGATTTTTGCCAACTTCCTTTGATCTGCCGGGGCCAGGCAAGGCAGGTCCGCACAAACAGAAGGACTAAATGCGGAGATTAGCCTCATCCTTCTGCCCGGCTCCTAAGGCCTGATTAAGTCTGGTCTCTCTCAATTGTCTCTGAGCTGGCTGCCAGAGTGGCCGGGCTCAGAAGGAGGCAGGATGAAGGCTGATTCTGTAATGGACACTATTTTATCCCAGTGCTCTGAGAAGATTAGGCCTGGGGGTGTCACATTAGCCATGATCTCAGGAACTCTGCTCATCTCTTGCCGGTTTCAAACACCTCTCCTCGGCCTTAGAACAAACAGGGAGCTTGGGCCCCAAGGCCCCATGTTGGGCATGAATAATTACCCCTGCCAAGTGTTTGAAGATCACAAACTGCTGTGTAAATTACTCAGTTTGGGCTTTAGTTGGGGGTGATTTGTGGTGACTTACCGAATCTTTTCACAGTTCAGAATTAAACTTTCCTCGTTACAGACCTCAGCCAGCACAGAGCGAAGGTTGAGTCATAACTGACAGCCCTCCCCTCAGATCAACTTCTGCAGAGGCCCTGCCGGAGTCAAGTGGTTTGGGAGGCAGAGCGACCCCGCCTGCCCCTCAAAGAGACCTCAGCCACCTGTGCCTGATCAGCATTAGATACAGCAACAACCCAAGCCTGGAGGCAGGGATGGGCCTGCTGAACTCCGATCATTCAGGACGGCTGTGATAATGTCTTGAGAGGCTTTCCCACCGACACAGTTTACTTTCTGTTTCTTTTCAAACATGATATAGTTCTTTAATTAGCAAGGGCAAACAAGGAAGAGAAGGAGGAGGAGGATGGTGCGGATGTTGAAAGATTCTAATTGGGGAAACAATATCATTAAACAAATTTCAATTATAGAGAATTAACTCACATGGTAGGTCTCTTTTAGAGCCAATTCTAGGTGAGAGTGGTGCCCACCCAAGTCACTCCCATGCCAATCCTGTTGGCACCTGCCAAGCAGAGCACGGCTTTTGGTTCTGAACGCATTTCTCTGGTAGATCGTCTGGGTCCCTAAATGGCCAACAAGTATATAGATCACCACCCAAGTTCTCTTTGTATCTCCCTGACTCACGTAACTTTTAATAAACAATAATTATAATGCCAACAGCAAATTCTGTCAGATCAGAATTCAAGATGGTTTTTAATCTTGCTAAATATGTTGGGCATAGCATAAGAACACAGGTAACTGCTTCAAGGGACTTTTTTTTAAATATATTTTCCAGTTTAGCAGAGAGTCGTTAGTAGCTTTGTTCTGTCATTGCTGTTATTTGTGTATGCGGAGGGAGGTCGTTATGAGTCCAGGTGCCTGTGGAGGCCAGAAGAGGGAAGCAGGTCCCCCAAAGCTTGGGACTGGAAGAGGTTGTGTGTCTCCAGACTGGGTAACCATTGAGGCGTTTCCGTTCATCTACCCATACCCACTCAAACACACAGGATATTCATGATGACAAACTCCAGGTGTTAGACAACTGGAGTGACTTTTCTTCTCCAAAGAACCCTGGCTCCACTGATCTGTGTTTGATCCACACAGAAACTTGTAAACAGCCATCGGAAGGTGTGCACATGCCAGGACAGGAAAAACCAAAGCTAACATGCAGAAATAACCATTATTTAGTGAAGATTGGTTTGTGTGGTTTTCACAGATCCCTGCTCCTTTCCTGTGTGCTTCGAGCTGGTAGTGCTGACGAGACATTCCTAGTGAAGATTTTCAGGGCCCATTTCTGGAAATGTCACAGAAGCCCAGACTGCCACCCGAAGAGTGTCCTTCATCCTCGATCTTGAATAGCATCACTGTTCCTGTATCATCGCTAAGACATGTCGCCTACTAAAGATAGAGAAAAGTTAGTAGGTAAGATTCAAAGGTACTAAGCATTTTTAAAAGCAGGATAAGTAAATTAGAAAACAATAAAACAACATTTATAACTCTCCCTTGTCAGAAAAGGTAACATCATAGTCTATTTAACTACATCCTTTGCCTAACCGCAAAGGCAAAGGTAACACCTGGAGGCTACATCACCTTCAGCTTTGTGCCTATGTACCTACAGCACACGTTTGTGTTTGCTGATGGCTCATGAATTCATGATTGACGTACATAGAGCAAAGCTGCTAAGAGTTTCTAACAGAGAATCTTACTGTTTGGGAGTTGGGTAGCAGGTGCAAACTTAATTTTGTTTTGGTTTTCAACTTCATTCAGTTATTATCTTTCTAAATTTGGTACAGTTTTTCTCCCTACAGAGACTGTATCTGCTAGCAATGTTGTATATTTTAGCATACTTAGTTAACGTTCTGTGGCCATGTGCACCTAGCACCAAGTGGAAGTGTCTGGGGGTCTGGGACCGCTTCAGAGCCCTGGTGTCTACTCAGTGTGGAGGAGAGAGGGAAGAGTGTTGGGTAGTAACAAATGGATTCCTAGCATTCTTCACCCTGGTGGCTTTCTCCAAGGCAAAGTTTCTCAACATTCCTAATGCTTCCACCCTTTAATACATGAGTTCCTCATGTTGTGGTGACCCCAAACCATGACATTATTTTTGTCGCTACTTCATAACTGTAGATTTATGATGTAAATATGTGTGGTTTCCAATCATCTTATGTGACCACAATGGAAGGGCTATTGGACTCCCAAAGGGGTAGCCACCCTCAGGTTGAGAACCACGTTGACTCAACAACTCTGGGGGGTGGAATTGTCAACATTTACACTCTTCATCAAAGAAACTGGGGTGACTGAGATGTTCAGTCTCACAGTGGCACAGCAGCATTGTGAGCCTCCCATTCTTTGCCCCACACACCAACTACCAAAGCACTTGGGTAGGGAGAGAAAGTTTCATTCCACTAGGAGCCTGAAAGAGTCAGGCCAGGCTCTTTAGAGATATCAGCACATAAATTGAGCCCAGCGTTTCACAGCTGAAAACTTGGGGTGCACTAAAATTCCAAGTAGGGATGGGAATGGTCTCTTTGAGACACCAACTGAAGGTCACAAGTTCAGAGTCAGTTGAGGGGCTGCTTTGGGATAAAGCTGGACATAGAGCTGAGGTCAGAGGCATTTGGAAGCCTATCTCTATCCACAAGAACACAGCAAAGAGCTAGCGGACTTGAGCCAGGGTATGGCAGGGTAAGTATGAAATAAGATGTATCCTATCAAGGGAACATTGATGAAAACTCATTTGCTTCTTTATTTTTGTTCTTTAAGACATCACATTGCTTTGGCACCTGGGCTGGCCTCAAACTCCTGACCTCAGCTGGTCTTCCTATTGAGTGTTAGGACTGGGGACTGCAGGCATGCGTGCATCACTATGTCTGGCTTGTGGAAGAAAGGGCTTATGAGTTCTGTGAACTGTATTACTAGCAGTGTATAGTTAGAGTCACCCCTTGTGATAGAATGTCAGTGTAGCTATGCTATGAGCTCGGGCAGTTCCCTTCAGTCAGTAGAAATGATTTAACTTTTCTGTGATTTAATTGAGTCTTTAGTGAAATATAATCACTGACCAGTGTAAACACCAGTCGTGTGCATTATGCCCCAGGTCTAGGAATCCTGGCCAAGGACAGGCGGAGTGTCCTAATTTGTCCCTGTGGGCAGGCCATCTGGAGGTCACTCCTTAGATCTCTCACATACACTTGAGGAAGTATATAGATGAGGACCCATGTTCCCCATGTTCCTACTGCAGGACTACTATGCAGAAGCAGGCTTATTGTTGGTCAGAAAGCTGCTGAGCATCCTGAAATCTAACTCCAGCCTGCCAGAGCCAAGATGTAGGTGACCCACCTTCCTGGGTCCAGGTGTGCCCGGTGGATACATGACATGGTAATGTCCAGTTTGCTCAGGTGACAAAGAAAGAGAAGATGCCATTTCTTCCCATATGGGCATGCTCTGAAATAATGGGTCAGATCCTTCCTGGGTCCTACCACCTGACTCTGCTTCAGGTCTCATTGGATGCTCCCCTTGGCAGGTAATACAGATCAGTAGATGTGGATCTATTGTGGGTCATTGCTACTATGGAGAGAAGGCAATGTCTATACATCTTTGAGATTCCAAAGCAGGGAGGGCACTTGGTGAAAACATGGCATATTCTCTGCAGATAGTTAAACACGGTGGTCTTTATCCACAAGGAACTTGAAATACGTGGTTCTGCCATCACCCTCGTGGGAATCCCAGCTTTCCACCATGTCTGCTGTGAGAGCTTGAGAATGCAGCTTCGGCACACATCCCCCAGTGTCCTTATGCACACAGTGGGGATGGTGGTGGTACGCATCTCATGAGCTCTGCCTGGGACAGAATGCCCGTGTGCAAACATCTGCTGTGCTGGATGGTCGCTGTGCACGCAAGGTCACATACAGTTGGCATGATAAAAAATGTAGAAGAATAAAATAGATCTTGTCAGCAGATGCAGGAAATGGACAGTAAAGGACCAGAAAAGAAGGATGGGAAACTAAAATACAAAATACATGATATAGATGTAGCATTCCAATGAAATGATGAGAGAAAGATAGGTGGATCCTGGGGCAGCCTTGGGGAAACGCCAGGCTGAGGATGACCTTGAACTGACAGGGATTGGAAGAAAGAGAAGTGTAGTTGACCACAAGGCTGTGTGATCCACACGCCCAATAGGAGGTCAATGCTCCTGAGAGGCACACCTGAGCCTGGAGATCGGGTACGCGACTGTTTTTGTTGTGCACAGGATGGAGAAGAGCTCAGAGCCCTTTGTGAATACACAGAAGTTAGAAGTCAAGAATCTTAGAAAGTGGGAGACAAGGTGGGCAAGTGAGGAGGTCCGGACGCCAAGCAAGTGGGGGCTGATGAGGTTCTAGTTGGATGGCGGCAGGGGGAATAGGCAAGAATTATAACAGCAGTTAAACTAATGATGGCAGTGTAATGATATCGATTACCTGCCCAGGGGAGCATTGTGCAGCACACGTTGTCTGCAGTGACAGTATGTGTCTCATTTCTATTTATATGCTCCATATTAAATCTCACTTTTCCTGCTAAGGTTAATTGAGCCATGTGTGGAGAACTTTCTTGGTACGAGACACCGCTCTGGGCATTTATTTACACTCTTATCGATTCCCACCATAGCCTGCCACGGGAAGATCACACATATGCTTAAGGGATGCCTCACTGTGGGGAGCTGTGGGAGATCAAATCTGCCGTGGCATTTTCTCCTGTACACAAGCTGGTGGGTGACTGCATGGGATCTTCCCCAAGTCTGTTGGTTGGCCCAAGCGGAGATGTACCTAGATACATTTTCAAGATTTTATGAATAACTCTATAATCGTTAATGCAGATAAATGGTGACATTAAATTTGCTAGCCTCAGACATGCTATTACTCACAGAGGCCCATCTGCCCTCTGTGATGCAGTCTGTTCTGTTATCACCAGAGTTCTAATAAAATTTGTGTCGGTTTCTCACTTCCGTAAGTCGGAACATGGGGATCTGGGTCAGGGCGCCATTCTTACGAAGTCCTTGGGCTTTCCTTGCACCTGCACAAATTGAAGAACCCAGATAAGCTGTTTCCCTATCTCCAGATCTCCCTTAAGACCATAGTTGTTGAAAAACAGTGTTAAGACCAAAGAGAAAACGAACAGACAGAAGGAAGCATACAAAGGTATGTTGGCCTGTGTTTATTTTGCAGTTGTGACACTCAGACACCTCCTCCAGAGATTCAGTGAACACCAGGATGTGTTGCCCTAAGGCTGCCGCCCAACTGTGCCTCTGTGTGGCTGTAAGAAGATGTGCTTGCCCCGCCCACCTCCATAAGGTAGCCTGCAGGCCCCTCTGCAGCTTAATCTCTTCATTTGCATGCTGCTATTTTAAGCTGTCATGTGGGACACCATCACTTTTCTTTCCCCCTTTGCAGTGGAGGGGACAAATCCCTCCCATCACCCAGACACCTTGATTTAACAACGATTTGTTATTGGCTGGAGCCCTCCACATGCCCAGGAGCTGCAGCCAGGAGCGTGGGAGCCTCCTTTGATTTTCTAATCCTCAGCTCCTCTGTCTGCCTCTGCGCATGAAGCTCTTTGGGCTCAGATTCCACCGCAAGCATCCCTGGAGATAGGAATGGTGCTGCAAGGGAAGGAGGCAAGGTCAGACCTTAGAGAGGAAATGCTCTGCCTTTGAAAGTTGCAAGGGTCAGTTCAATAATTGGCCAGCTGAAGTGAGCCATGGCCCAGGTCCTACCAAACTCGCCAGCGGCTCTTCGGTAATGAGGAGGGGGTCTTTGTCTGTACATCGGCTGGTACACTGACACCTGGAGTTTTACTGCACACCATACCTCTCTATCTGTAAGGTTTATTAATAGAGATTAATCAATACAGATAGACATGGGGCTCTTTGGTGCAGCACACAAGGTCAGCCAAGTGCAGACACTGCCAGCCTCTCACTCAGCCCCTGATCTTTAATTGATGTCCCCTGCTAAAGAGGCCACCAGAGGACAAGTACCATCTGCCATCTAAATGCTGAACCTCTTCTCTTCAGACCTGAGGCAGAGCCATCCTGGATTGAGCCATGCTGCCCTCTGGGATAGGTGGACAGGTCAGCAAGCTTGCACACAGGCCCACGTCTTCACACTGGGGAGGTCCCAGCGTTCTGGGGACGATGCTCGCTCAATCTCATGCCCATCTTTCTCCCTGGATACTTTACAGCTGTGACTTCAGGGATCAAGATGCGTTTTCAAGTTAATTTTACAAACTTACATGTTAGTTTCGTTTCCTTACAAAATGAAGCAGTCATACTGCGGTGTGTGATTTTTTTTTTCCAGAAACCAAATGTTTGTCCAGAGAAGGGTACCAACATGACACAGAAAATAAATGGCCTAGCTTAACACATCGGTGGATTTCTTGGGGTCACCCACAAAAGCTTGGGTGACCCAAGGGCAGACGCCCCAGCACAGTGATGACTCAGAAAGACCGTATTCCTGAATGTATTAAGACTTGCAGGTAGTTTAGACAGTCAGAGCCCCTTTGCCCAGGAACTGATCCTGCGTATAACCTCACAGGGGAAGGATTTCTGATCTGTAAGTCTCAGCTTCGTGCACCTTGAAAGTTTTATTTCCAGGGTCTTTCAAGCTACCCTCCTTCTAGGAGGGATGGCTTCCATCAGAAGGAAATGGCTACACAGTCCAACCATCAAAACCTGCATACAGAAGCCAGAGCTGAGAGGAGGGGAAGAAGAAGGATATCTGGGTTCTCTGGTTAGGCACCCTACGTAGCTAATGAATTCTGGTCCAAGTGAGAGACCCTATCTCAAAAAAAAAAAAAGATGGCCAGTGCTTGAAAAACACCTGTGTTTCACTCCCAGCTTCAGCATGCATAAGCGCTCTCTCTCTCTCTCTCTCCCCCTCCCTCTCCCTCTCTCTCTCTCTTCCCTCCCCCTCTTTCTCCAAAAAATGTTCTCATGTTCTCTCCCCACCAAGCCCTATTTAACATATTTATGTTTTTCCTGTTGTTACTTTGATTAGAAATTTAATTTTTAAAAAAGAAATCCTTTACGAAGAGGAAGAAGTTGAAGGTGGAAGCCCAGATTTTTCGCTGATTTGAGAGAGTGTGTCTCAGGTGATTCCAAATCCAGGCCCACTGAGGAGACCTCAGAAGTCGTTGTCAACTTGACATCACACATCACTGTCACCCATAGGGCAGGACTGGGCTCTCATGAGGTGTTGGTGCAGCTGCCCAATGTTACCTTCTGGCTGATCTCTCAGTGGCCTTCTCCACATGTGCCTCTCCTCCTGCTGTGAAGAAATCAGCAGCAAGGAGGACCATGTATGCCAAGGTCCTCAGCTACATGGACAAGGGCCAACACATTCATTTAACTCAACTTCATCTTCTAAAGGTCCATAAAGAGTTACATTCTATACTACAAGGGGCTAGAGTTGCAACATATGACTTTTAAGGGACACAATAGTCCAAGCAATGTTTCCACTTCATCTTACTTAACTTGTAACAGCATCAGCAAGTGCCACCAGCAGAACATCTGACACTCAGTCCCTCTCCAGCACCGGGTACTCCATCATTTCCTGTGTATAGATAGTGACGTCAGCCAGTGGTTATGAAACACGGCATTCACTGAAAGGACACACTTATCACATCCAGAACTAAGCAACACAACTGCCCAAAAGGCATCTCAATCTTATTAAAGTTTTGGAGACAGGGTCTCAGTATAACCCTCAAAGTTGCCATGATCCCCCTCTGTTTCCAGAAATCTGTTATTCTGCACAGCCACCTCACACTCAGTCAAGCTGAGTATCTTAGAACAAGCTCCCATCATTATCCCCAGGACTTCTCCCACCAACTTATCCATCCTGGTAAACTGTAACTACATAATTCATGTTGTCAGAACTAAGATCTTGGAAGCATTATGGAATCTCCCCTGCCTGCTACATGGAACAGTGAAGATGTTGTGTCTAAATCTTCAAAATACAGTCAGACTCTAAACATGTCCCTCTGCTTCCCTCTACTTATTATGTCTCACTTCAGTTGCCACTACACACCCAGCCCATCATCCCATTGGCTTGTGATTCAGTGTCTGAGAACACGTCAACCAACATTTTAAAATGTTGCCAGCATAATATTGTGTCATATTCAATGAAAATTCATGTTATCAATTGGATCATGGAAAAGAATACAATCCAAGTTGATCCCTAGACAATTTTTTCAAATAAAAGCCCATGAGAGAGGATTGGATAGACGAATGCATAGATAGATAGATAGATAGATAGATAGATAGATAGATAGATAGATAGATAGATGATAGATTGTTTGGGAACTCATTCCACCAATAACCTTGGGGTGCCAGTCATAGGGTGTGGCTTCTTGTTTGTGGACCTAAAGACTGAGAGAGAGAGAGAGAGAGAGAGAGAGAGAGAGAGAGAGAGAGAGAG